TACAGGCTCTCCATCTCTGAAGCTCTGTGTAGTCTGTTGCTATAGATCTGCACATGGCATGGACGCATGCTTTTGTTTCAGAACCTAACTGCTGGCCAGGGTTATGCTTGGTCGACTGAAAACCGTTGATCTCCAAAAAAATCTGTATGCTCGTACCTGCATTCTTGATCGTCTTTCCCTCTCCCCTAGTATAACTTTGTCGCAGTTGGCCTTGCCTGTTCGTAATCTTTGCCAACTTTGCAAAATGTGTTGGCTTAAATAAAATAACAGCTGAAATGTTCGTCTATTTCTGACATCATATGTACTTCTTTTAGTTTTATTTTGGCAGACCTGAGTGACGTATGTGGCAGACAAATTTAGTTATTCAATCAGAATGCTGTTTAAATGCCGTCTGCTAAGTATTTTGCCTGCAAACATCCTTCGGGTAAATTCACTTGTATCTGCACTGTCGAAATAAAAATGGCGAATCGCATCAGTACTCCTCCTTCCGCACTAGAGGAGCACGACTTACATAAGACTAAGGCATTTTCGCCTCCATTATGTTGTCCATCACGTAGGGCAGTATACATTTCCGTATGCGATGGTATACATTCGGGTCGAAGGTCAGCTTTCTCGTCAGCCCTGGACGAAGTATTATTGTGTGCGAGTTGGTTGCACTCTCAATCTGCTAGGCTACGACCTCGTTCGGAAGCGCGATTACTGCGGCATACCGAGCATCTAGGCAGTACGTGCTGTCTTGTCATTTACAAGACGATGCTGCAATCGAAACGTCGCGTGGGATAGCAAAATTAAACAATATCAAAAGATTGAATTTTCGGTTTGGAATAATCCATTTCTTCTGTCAAGATAAGAACTGTCGGTTACGGATGCTAACGGCATCAAATTTAATTTGGTTAACATAACAATCGCTTAGCAATCAACTCTTGCTAAACGCGTGTTGTCCATGATGAACATTACATATAATTACAACGGAAAAGCTGCCACTTCGATTCCAAAGCCCAGTAAATCAAAGAGCGTAAGTAGTGCAGAACGACCGTCTGAATTATAAATGTTATAAGATTCACGGGTATTTCAATTTGATGGGATGAAAAGTTCATCGTGGAGACCTGATTAGTTTCCGTTATACAGGCCAAGGTGTCGGAGCCCCTATCCAGTCAAAGCGGAACAACCGTACTGACGATGAAACCACGCATGGTGGAACCATGGACCGCGCACTTTCGAGGCGTCGTCCGCCAAATGTATAGAGTCTACGATGACGTTACCCACAATTTTTTTCATGTGGACAAAATAGACGACATTAGTCCTCCGTCTTCGTCCCGGACCTAAATAGACCAGCACAGTGGTGTGCGATATGAATGCACAGAAAGCTGAGCCGAATGAATACGAATTTAATAAGCATGACAGCGCGAAGCAAATGGTAAAGTTTACTTCGTAGTTTCACGATATGCGACCGCACAGAACAGTGCGTGTGTCATCGGCGTACATATTTATACACAAAAAGGGAATCGGCAAGTTGCGATACCAACAGAGATAGCAAAATGTATTAGTCTTTTCTGCTTACTCCTCTAAATCGGAACTCGTAGAACTGAAATGTAGGTTCTAAACACACTAAGGAGAAAAAATCTATTTTTACGTTTTTGTAACCGCATAAAACATGCTTAAGGGTAAAGAAAACCTCCATATATCTGGGGTCGATTTGTCAATAGATTTTGATATTTCGACTAGCGAAGACGTCAGGAAAACTGTACCAGAATTGTAATAAATAAATAATTTATTCGCTTTTCGCATTTGACTAATTCCTCTGCACAGAGAGTGCTCCAACTCAGAATATGGTACCGGGAATTCATTGCGCCCGTTGGTAGCTTGCGGGCCTGAGAACCTTGATTCGAGCAGATCTCGGCGCACGTGGTTGTTAGTTATTGCAACGATTTCGGCCCCCTAGTGCTTCAAAGTGTGGCCAGGTTCCGAGGGATGACATGCTACATGAGAGCTGGTGTTTTTTTACCTTATCACCAATGCATGTTCAGGCATTGGCGTCTGAAGTCAAAGGGGCTGAAAATGGGGCAAATGATAGTGTAATGCAGCGGGTGGATCGTAAGGATGGGTGAAAAAAATGGCTGCGTTACGGCCACATGGCCGTAGACAGTAGAAGTATTGGCGAATAAATTTTCACTTTATGGACAAATTATAGATCTCGCGCAGGCGCCGGCAAGTAAGTCCAAAGAGCTTGACAAGTTGTGCGTAAGATTGGGAAGCTGAAATTAGTGTCTTTAAAAAGACTGACTAGTCATTATCACGCTAGATAGAGACCTGCAAGGCTCTTGTTCAGAGTGCTAGTAAACGGAGCTTCCAACTCTACCATCGTGTCCACATTGTAAAGTAGCGTTCTTAGCACCTGCTCGATATAAATGGAAGTCAATGAAGAAGGGGATCTCTCAACATGACCGAACCTCCTCGCATTTAACAACACACCAGTACTGCACCACGTTTAGAACAATAGGTTTCAATTTACCTCCAACGAAACAGAATTTCCCCTACCACCAGCCAGGCAGACTCAGTTAAAACTAGTTTCAATAGAACTACATGTTTTCATTAACTATTGGTCGGTTTGGTCACTTCCGAAGCCACCACACCAAGTCTGGAAAACCGGAGCATGAATCTGACATATAGCCTTCAGATAAGTTTTACTTGCTGATACCGCACGTGGACACTCAAACACAGCATTGCTCTTTCCTCTCTATTTATATATGTCATATGTTTTGGGGTATTAGTATACCTTCTGAGGACTCTTCATGTTGAATAAATTACAAAATATATGTGGCTTGTGCCAACATGGATTATACAGTGCACAATGTCGCCTCAAATGCCATAGTGAGATGCACATACTGGGGCATTATACATCTCTCGCAAAATTGTATGTGCCTCTCTACACGGCATTTTATGGTTCCAGCCTACGCAAACTACGAACAGCAACTGAATTCACAGCATGGCTATTATAGTAAAGGTTACGCGAATTCAATTTATATCAGGCCTTACTGGACGGCGTTTTGATATTCTGACTAATAAAGTGTGTATTATTGTCCAGTTATGTTAACTGTTAGGTTTCTTGCATTTTGGCACAAGATAGTTACCATTTGTTTCACGTTCTTTTCTTGTCCATTATGATAGGAAACAAGAACAAATGAGCAGCGGTAGATTTTATCTCTCAACCTGTTGGGCAGAAAATAATTTGACCCCTTTTAATTGGATTTAAGTATAACCGTTGTAGCATTGTACTGCTTGGATTCATAATATATATATATATTTTTGCGTCTTGCCATTTAAATGTTCCTTTGTGTGTGAAAAAATTTAAATCTTAGAAATCTATTGATGACGCTGAAGGAAATTAAGGATGTTTATTGGAAGTCGGGATAAAGTGCATTTTGTCGTTCAGCGTACAATTTGCGATCTAATCAGAAGTTCGATTAAATGTCTTTGAATTTTATCTGATAGCTTTCGTAGACAATAACGCGTTTTGGAGCAATATTTGAGCCGACCAATGTGGCTTCTAGATATTTTTAAGGACCGAAGACGTTGTTTCATTATTTGGTACGTTATCGAAAGTAGAATTATAAAAAAAACAGTTCCCAAACCTGATGAATGCCTCCTTTGTAGGTAACTTGCTTATATGAACATTTTGTGCGGGGAAAGTAGAAAACGATAACAAACGAATGGACACCCAAACTTCTTCATCAAGCGAAGCGAGCGCCGAGTGAACAGACGACGGCCACAAGAAGAACAACACGAAGTCTGGAGGGCTATTCCTTACATTAAAGGAGTATCCGAGGCGGTTTCAAGACTGCTACAACCCGCCAGGGTAGGTATTGCCCATCTGTTATGACCCGCGTGGTACGTGAAATCCTGTGGAGCGTATGCGCACTCGACCCTTGTCCTCAATACCAACGCGGCAAAGAAGGAGAACGCGACCGGCCAAGAAAATGTGTATTAGGAAATTGCAAGTCAAAATTAACTGGAAGTAACGCGTATTTATAAAGCCCTACGGTGCTTCGCCGGCGTTCGGCCCAATGCCCTTCGGGAAGAACATTCGAGACGAGCCGGTCGATAATTCGAATATGCTGATCGATCAGGCCTGAGAGGAAAAGCCAATGGAGAGGCGCCACGAGTAAGATGACAGCGCAGTAGAGAAAACGCACGTGACCTCCCGTGATTGGCTGGCTCTTGTTTTTGGGAGTGTAGGCGCTACCAACACCTCCCCTCCAAGTAGGTCAGTACCGCTTCTGGCGTGGGTTGACCTGCATCAGACGTGTTGATCGGCGCACGTGGTTGGTCCGGCGTCTTAGTCCTGGTTTAATGCCTGGAGATACGGGAGCGGTAACTGATACCGAAGATGGTATATCCGAAGGGGGCGCAGAAGTGGGTTCGGGATCCGACTGATCTGCCGGAATGGCGAAGGTATCCAGTAGGATGTCAAGGGAGAGTGACGGCGCCGACTCGAACCCAGTTTTGTTACTGCAGATTCGCTGTCGGATCTGGTTGTGGTGGCGAACCCAGATGTCATTAACAACGTCGACATTAAACAACATACTGCCTCTGTGCGCTACTACGGTTGCTTCAATCCAGTCTGGGAACCCCGCTCGATAATCACGGACGAAGACAGGTGTTCCGATGGAGAGCATGCTGCGACTGCTCGGACTGCGCATCGGTAGGGACGAGTGTGTGAAATGTTGTCCGCAGTTTTTGGCCAATCAACGCTTCGGCAGGAGAAACGCCACCAGGGGACGCCGGGTTCGGTGTTGTCCTGTAGGAAAACAGAAACGCCTGGAATATGTCGTCCGTGGTCCCCTCCCCACGAGCTTTCAAAAGGGCTCTCTTAAAAGTGTCGACAAAATGCTCCGCCTGACCGTTAGACTGAGGATGGTAGGGCGGGGAGCGAAGATGCTGGATGTTGTGCTGGCGGCAGAAATCTTCAAACGTCGACGAGATAAACTGAGAGCCATTATCTAAACCAGGACTTCTGGTAAGCCATGCTGGCTAAAGATGCGTCGTAGGAAGGCGATAGTGACGGATGCGGTTGCTGGATTCAGCGGAGCAATCTCGGACCACTTCGAGTAGGCGTCAACCAAGATTAGATAGGAGACTCCGTTAAGTGGGCCAGCGAAGTCGATGTGCACGCGTGACCAAGGCCTCTCTGATGGTTCCCAGGGTACTGGCGCTTGACGAGGCGGCATCTTGGCAGCTTGCTGACATCGAGAACAGCGTCGAACCAGGTCGTCGATGTCGCCGTCGATACCCGGCCAGTAGGCAAAACTGCGAGCAATAGACTTCATTCGGCTGGCACCAGGATGAGCCGCATGGAACTGGCGTAGTACAGTGGGTCGGAGAGAAGATGGGATCACCACACGGTCTGCAAACATGAGGCAGGAGTCAACCACAGATAGCGATGCTCGGCGGAGGAAGAGCTGGCGAAGATCGCCAGCGAGAGCAGTGGTTGGCCAGCAGGTCTGCACGTAGGTGATGGCCTGGCGGAGGACAGGATCCTGTTCAGTAGCACGTCGGATGTCCGCGGCAGTGACAGGGATACCTCGTATGGCGTCTGATAATTGACGGCGCACACCGTCCTCAATCGAAATAGCTGCAATCACGGTATCTTCCTCCGGTTCCTGCTGATTGCTGATGAGGCGAGAAAGGGTTGGAAGCAGCTGCAGCAACAACGATCGGCAGCGTCGGGTCGTAATGCGTGAGCAGCAGATCTGAACTCAGCATCGACTTTAGCTGGGCGAAGACCTTTTCACAGTCGGGGGACCAGCACCAAGGAGCATCCTTCTGCAACAGACGGTTGAGCGGGGCCCGTACGTCATGCAGCGATGGTAGGAAGGCGCTATAGTAACTGATCAGGCCAAAGAACGAACGAAGTTGCGATACATTCTTGGGTGCAGGCATCCGTTGGATGGCCGGAATGTTTTCAGGATCTGGATGGCGACCAGTGACGTCAAAAACGAATCCAAGGTACTTGATGGAGTCGAGGAAGAATTGGCACTTATCGGCTCGTAGGCGAAAGCCATATTCCTGCACGCGTTCGAGTACTGCGCTCACTCGGTCTTGCAGCTCGGCAGGGGAGCGACCCACGATGATGATGTCGTCCAGGTACCCAGCTGTGCCAGGGATGCCGAAGAGCATTGCGTTCATCGTTTGTTGGAATAGGGCCGGGGCGGTCTTGACACCAAAGGGCAGCCTGGTGTATTGAAACAGACCGCGGTGGGTATTGATGGTCAACAATTCGCGCGACTCTGGGGCGACCTCGATCTGCAGATACGCGTCAGCGAGATCCAACTTGGCAAAGCAAGTGCCACCATTCAGCAGGGTGAAAAGATCAGTCGGAACCGGTAGTGGATAGCAGTTCGGCGTCAGTGCGGCATTGAGGCCGGTGGAGAAGTCAGCACCAATGCGAATCGAGCCATTGGGCTTCTTAACCACAACGATTGGAGCGGCCCAAACGGAGTAGGATACAGGAACCAGAACTCCCAATTCCTCTAGACGCTTCAGTTCAGCTTCGACAAGTGGTAGAGCTGCATATGGGACTGGTCACTTTGGACGGAAGACTGGTTGACTTCCTGGAGACAGATGTAGCACGGCTTGAGTGTATGTGCAACGACCCAGACCGTCTTGGAACACTGGAGCAAACCGTTGGAGAATGTCCTTGGCTTGGTCTGCAAGCACAGCGGGAATCTGCACCTGACTGCAAACAACGCGGAGCGGCATATCGGCCAACCCAAGTTGTTCAATCCAGTCGAGACCAAGTAGGTTGAGAGCAGACTTGCTGATGTAGCAGGTCGCGGTGATGCTGGTACCGCGGAACGACACACAGAATTGCAGTTGCCCAATTAGCTGTACGAGACCACCGCACGCGCTTGTGGCGGACTGAGAAGTCTACTGGATCGTGGGGCTGCCAAGAGACTGCCAGAGTCTCTCAGAGATGATGGTGATATCTGAGGCAGTGTCCAACTGTAGGCCAACTGCGTGGCCATTGAGAAAAACGTCAACAAATTTTTTCGACCCGACGCATTGAGCTGGAAAGCGGCCAAGAGACTCAGATAATTACCAACGAACTGGAGTTTGGACTTGGGTTTTGGCCGGAAACGATGCCTGGAATTAGGAATGACGGGGGTCGGCTTGCCTCCAGAAGTTGGTACTGATTTGCAAAACCCATCACTGTGTCCCACCTGATTACAGCTTTGGCAGCGATGCTGGCGGAAAGTGCAATCCCCGTGGAAATACCACGCGCCACAGTGCTGACAAGGGGATGGCGGAGATCTCGCCTTGGACACTTGCTTGGGCCGCGATTTGGTCGATGTGACCGAATGGACTGAGAAAGATGAGGCAGGGTTCTGAATCATTGCAGAGTCGTGCCTGAGAGTGATCAGCGTTTGGCACTCTGCTGCCAGCTCTTGGAGTGTGATAGAGTTGCCCTGCTGCACTTTGGACAGGAGACGTGTCCGGATATCAGCATCCTTGGGGAACTGGAGGCCGCAGATAAATATAAGGCATTTAAACTGGTCTTCAGTTAGAGAACCGAGTTGACAACGCCCACGCTCACGATTGACAATGCCCGCATACGTGATAAAATCATCGGAATCGCGTTTGCACAGCTGCAGGCACTGAAATCGAGTGTAGAAAAGGGATGATTGATCACCAAAAATCTGCGACAACGTCCCGACCGTGTCCTTGAAAGCGAGCTCTCGGGGATTCTTGGGGAGGATGAAGTTTGCATAACGGTCGTGTTCAGCCGGACCCAGTTTGCGAAGTAGGAGTCGAACCTTCCATGCATCGTCCTGGGCAGCCAGATCGACAGAGAACAAGTCCTCGTATAGTTTGTACCAGGAATCAAAGGTGATATGGGCCTGCGGGTCATACAAGAATTCCGTGATGCTGCCGGCAATGTGATCAACAGATTGCGAACCACCAGCCGCACTTGAATGACCCATGAACGAGTTGGACAGCTTAACGGTAAGTGCTTCCATTTGCTTCAGCTTCTGCTGCAACATCAGCTTCAAGTCTGCGTACTCGTCAGCCATTGTAGTTGGAAAACTGCGTCGCCAATTTGTTATGACCCGCCTGGTGCGTGAAATCCTGTGGAGCGTATGCGCACTCGACCCTTGTCCTCAATACCAACGCGGTAAAGAAGGAGAACGCGACCGGCCAAGAAAATGTGTATTAGGAAATTGCAAGTCAAAATTAACTGGAAGTAACGCGTATTTATAAAGCCCTACGGTGCTTCGCCGGCGTTCGGCCCAATGCCCTTCGGGAAGAACATTCGAGACGAGCCGGTCGATAATTCGAATATGCTGATCGATCAGGCCTGAGAGGAAAAGCCAATGGAGAGGCGCCACGAGTAAGATGACAGCGCAGTAGAGAAAACGCACGTGACCTCCCGTGATTGGCTGGCTCTTGTTTTTGGGAGTGTAGGCGCTCCCAACACCATCGGCCCCAGGCAACTATTTGTCGCCGTTTGATGTAACCCAAAGACATACTGCCATCCACTAGAACCTCAGCAGTTGTCTATCAAATACGTTGTAAGGATGGAGACTGTAACTGCGTTGGGGAAACCAGTCGGAAATTGCAGACCCGCCTACATGAGCACAAACTGGTAACACGGAGACTTGACCCAAACTCACAGCTTGCGGCTCACATCGGGGAAACTGGTCACGGTTTTGATTTTTAAGGAGCAGCCGTCTTAGGCAGGGGCACCTCAAGGACTGAGCGTCTCACACATGAGGCTAAGTACTCAGATGCCAACTCCATCAACAGGCATCTAGACCTTCCTTCGGCCTATAAAGTCCTACGTCACTTCATACACCGTGACGAAGACAAGACAATCACACGGAGCCTAAGAATTCCAAGCAAACACGGCCTGTCGACCACTTCACCCAAAAGGGGAACGCAAACGCAACCAACACCAATTGAGGTGACGAAACGTATAACAGGAGGCCACCAACATTCACAGGCGACGGCCAGTAGGCCAAGGCAGAGAAAGAAGAAAAAAATCGATCAGCCCATGGCCAACTAATGCGGCAGTCTATTCAAAAATGCTGATAGATTTTTTTTACTTGACGCTTTGACAATGGAGAGCAGCCCCAGCTCTTCGAAACGTCAGCCAGAAAAGTCCCCTGATCCGGTGACTAATTCATTCTCCTCAGAAAGCGATAACTTATTGTCATTACTGTTAGCTGCTAGCGTAGGCTAAGCCATCAGTATTCGTAGAAATCAGTCATCGTTTTAGCCTGCTGGCAGTCACGCCCCATATGCGAGCGGACATCGTAAGAGATGTATGATATTAGATAAACGAATGAGACGTCGCAGTGTATGCATTCGTCACAACCAGCCTGCGGCAGTTTACTATGGACAGAGATAGCAATCGTCCGATCGGGTAAACAGCGCACTGGTTCAGTTAAAAACAAAAAAATACGACCGCAATTGTCCACTTTACGTTAGGCCGTCAGGATCAAAAAAATATTTTAAAAAAGTGATGCCTCACCAGCGAAAAAAACTTGTCCATTTATTGTACGGGCCTTTTCATCTTGAACATGCTAAACAATTAAAAAGTGTCATAATGAGAAATAAAACATTCGTGTAAAGTTAAGAACAAATAGAAAACTACCTATTTATCTATCCGTATGTTACCCGCTTACTTTGATATAAAAATCCTGATATTATATAAAAGAGTTAGAGGTCCTTTCCGAAAAACCGATATTCACGCACTCACCATTCAACGAAAGATAACAGCGTTTGAACAGCTTATTTTTCGACATCAAACCTCACTGGCTGTATTAGTTGAGCAAGATAACACACGCATTGGGGAAAGGACTAAAATCTGTTTCAGCAGTTACACTTTACGTTAGAACTCAAAGTGAAAGGGCAATACTGCAAGCATGATTTTTTTTCGTCTACCAGACATATATTTTTCGTCTTTTTATGATTGGCCTTGCCGTCTAGTGCGTACAGTAAAAACGTGAAATGTTGCTTGTACTATAAAAACGTCCTTCAAGTCATTGTGCAAATAATCTTGCCAACTTCAAAGTCCAGATTAATTGCCGCGCTACGTTAAAAAGCATTTATATTTCAAGAAAACCTAAGTGATAAAAAACATGTACATACAAAATTGAGACTACTCAAACTACATGAGGGCCTAAAGTTGCACACATGATTCATCAAACATGGTTGCCTTACTGCGGTCAATTTTACATGCCTTCGGCAGTGTTGAGGGACGATGTTTACGTACTCTGCCGGCGAAATGTTCGTTGTTTGATCTAAAGCGCAGCTGCTGTCAATATTGGACACAGGTTGACTGACTGCCTAAACATTGTTGAACTCACAGCCCCTATCGACAAACAGTCCAGCAGAGCAGTCAAAGACAGGTCATGGGGTCATGTGATGTGGAAAGCTTTGAGTGACGTTCCGAAAACCACGACGCAAGTGCTCCGCTAATGTTCGTGTATGTTTTTGTGAAGAAGTTAATACATTGTCATTAACTGCCAAAACGCATGCATTTTTCTTTGTAATGGCATGCCAACACTCATGTCCATTTTCTAAAAAAATAATCACAAATGTTTTATGGGTTAGTTACAGCTCTACGCAATAGCAATCAGGCGCGGCAAATCCTTCCCTGCAAATTTTAGCCTCTAATTTGTCTGCTTTACTCAACCGCCATTGAAGCAGTCCCTTCTATTGTAAATTTACGGGCTAGATTTTTAAAAAAAATGCACATTCGTTTTCACTTTTCTCTGAAATTCACCCTTGGCGTCCGGTGGTTTGGTGTTGTATGCTCACCATTCACCCTCATATGAACGATTCCACGGTATTTCACCCGCGCATACTAAATTTAATATGCGAATACTTGGTTGTTTACGCGTCAATTGCTCTTGTCACAAAAACACTAGGGCAAATACGTGATGAAGAAGAAAAGTGCGAGAAAAAATAGTTTTATCACCGCCTGTACTAAAAAGATGCTATGACATATAATGACTAATATTTTCATGAAAGCGACTCTAAAAATTATTTCAATTACAAGCATTTCCTTAAAAGAACGTTATGTTGACCTTAAACAAGTACGTCTACGGCCGTCCCAGTTCCATGTCAGCAGATTCAGCAGATGTCGAAACACATGGGGAAATTTATCACTGTGTAGATCTGGGCATTACAAAGTAATAGAATGCCCTTGATTCAACATTGGTGCTGTCGTGCAGCAACGGAAAAACTGTTGGAAACTGGCACAGTCTGTTGCCATTATATACTGTCAGTTATAGTTTTTTACATCGCACTGCTGCAGCACCTTTTGGTGACACGAAACATTTGAATTGACCCAACCGTGAAAAACGCGGCGCCTTGATTGGATCCGAATTCATAACAACAAGTAAGAGGCTTAAGTACAGTCAAGGTCTAAGCAAACGAGGCTAAGCAGCCGGAACAAGTCTGCAAACCATCGATAACTTACGTTTACCTGTTGGTTATACGGTCGATTCTATGCGGATTTCATAGGCATTGCTGGTTGGTCAGCAGGTGTTGTGTGAGATTCGGTGGATTTCAGATTTTGCCGTATGTTTTTCAAGTAGTGTAACACCAAGGGGAGTTCAAGCACGTCTATCGGTTTGCCGCGTAGCTCAGGTGTTCAGAATGTCGGCTGTCCTAAAGCATACTCCTGGCTTTCGTTAATTTGAAACCTACAAATGCTACGACATTTTGTCATGTGATTGCATTAAATATTTTACAGTGCAAGGAAACGTTAAGCATCATTCGCATCTCCTCCGGTCTCTTTTTACATCTGAATTAAATGTCATTCTATCCTTCAATAATGGAGCCTCAATGATAAATTGGAAGGGAGAAAATATATTTAGTTGACATGGTATTTGCTCCCCTACTGCGCTTACAGTTGCTGATATTTATTAATAATAATTGTCGTCGATTGATCTGAATAGCCTTCTCAGTTCACCTGTTTTTATGATATTTACCTTGTTTAAACATAACTATACTTGTCAAATGGCAAAGAACCGCTTCCCAATTAAAACGATTACACCTAACTATCGCCCAGGTTGTCTTTTTGTGCATCCTAGTTGCACATCCTAGTGACTAGAATAACCATATTTAAACCACTTGTTGCAGCAAAAGCGCTTTTTGACTGTGCATCACAAAATGCGCTAAACTGGGAACATGCATGAAACAGTGTATGCATAGGACCTCCTGCTTTGAATCATAGTCAAGAAAATTTGCTCTAGTTTTAAGTACATTCCTGTGTTATCGATGCTGTTTTCTGTACAACAATAATAATTATCTATCCTGCGATGAGCTTGCCGTTATCTAATATTGACTTAAATAGATACCTCACTGACTGCGTTGTGCAAACTTCAAATGTGAATGACAAATGACAAACAAGAGGAACGGATTTTTCGGCGGAACATCAATACGCTTGTGGACTAAGTACCTGTTGTCTTAAATTTGCCAGCAGCCCGGCGTTGTTGAAAACAAACACGATTTGTTCCGCTTGGCGCCGAGATTGCAGTATATACAGCTCATTCTGCTAGATATGAGGATTTATCGATCGCACGGGGACAAGGGCGGGGAATACTTGCGATAAGATGTGTAAAAAAAGAAAAGTTTGAAGAAAAATAAGGAGTTAATCGTTTGCGCATTGATGACATTTTCAGTTAACGAATATAGTAAGAGCGTTTTAATGATACATAAGTTTACAATTTACAAAGATATGAGCAGAGCATCAGTTTTATAAATTAAGAATGAGAAGCAATTTGTAACTTTAAAAACAGCGCTGTCTATAATACTATCGACCCTCAATGTTTAAATTTAGCTGCATTAGTAGGCTAAAAATCGACGAACACGATAACATACTTAGTTAATAGGTGTTTAAGAATTTTTGGGTTCCTAATCAAACTCATGTCTCCTAGTTTATATTTTTACAACTAATATCAAATTATTCATTCTTATCACATCATGCCTATGTGAGCAGGTGAACCTAAATCAACTTCGTTTATCGATCTGTCTCCGAAAATGTGCCAGTCTGATGCAA